TCACGAAGGAAAGATATCACACACAAGGTAAAGGTAGCTTATTACCACTTTTTGGTGTAAAATTGGTGACCAATAATAACATTGGGCTCCACATGTGTTTCGTATAGTTTGCACATATGGCTTGACACAGTGTCTAGATAAGAAGATAGTAAATATGCCATTTGTAGTTCTCATGATATGGCATGAGGCCAAAAATCATATAACTGGCTGTTATTTTTGCTTGACTAATGTTTCTGAATATTCAGACCAAACTAAATAATACATTAAATATTTACAACGAAAATAGCACTTCATGGGGATGGTCTTCCATTGCCACATCCACCAGTGAATTGGAAAACAGAAAAGTTTTACTGCGAAGAAGACAATGAATCCTCTTCATCCAGTAATCCTATTCATGTGGCAACTCAACATAAACTGCCTCATCTGATCACAAAAGAGGAGCTAAGTGATCTGATTCGTGATTTGCCTTTATCAAAGAAGCATGTGAACTTCATGGCTCTTGTTTACAAATATGGAATTTATTAGCTCCACGAACAAGTTTTAAGTTAAAATTACCATCAAAGTTTTGCTTCTCACTACAGCATGTAAGACACTTTGTGTTTCTGTACAAATATTAATGCACTAATGAAAGAATTAGGTACTGAACGTCATCTTCAAGAATGGAGACACATCTAATGTTAGTCTGAAAGCTGTACTTTTGCACAATGGAAACACTAATCCAGGTATGATCACCATAGGTGGAATATATGTGGTGATTTAAAAGTTATTGCACTTCTGTTAGGCCTGCAGAGTGGATATACCAGACATTGTTGCTTTTTGTGTCTCTGGGACAACCGAGATGATAAAAATCATTTCAAAAAGAAGAAATGGCCAGTGAGAAAGAATTACATACCAGGGAAACTAGAATATCAAGTATCAATCTTTAGTGAATCCTCAAAATGTGTTTCTACCTCCACTTTATTAAACTGGAACTCATGAAGAATTTAGTAAAAGGAATGAACAAAGATTGTAATGGTTTCAGATATCTGTCTGACAAGTTTACAAAAATCAGTGAAGCAAAAATTGCTGCCTGGAAATCATTCAAATTGTTTGTCAAAAATTTCTTAGGAAATCACAGAGATGAAAACTATGTTGTGATGATTGATGATGTGCTCGAGAACTACAGGAAAATGGGGTCTAGGATGTCACTAAAGATGCCTTTCTTAAACTTCCATTTAGATTTCTTTCCAAATGATCAAGGTGCAGCGAGCAATGAGCATGATGAGTGATTACAGCAAGATATTTCTACAATGGAACAACAATATGAAGAAGGATGGAATTCTTCGATGATGGGAAATTACTGTTGGTTTTTACAGAATGAAACTGAGAACATACACAAAAGATGCAACAAATCAATCAGATATTTTGTAATAAAAATAATAATATGATAAAAGTATTGTACATAGCCTGAATGTATTTTTAGTATGTAATCTTATTATACTCATTGCTTTTTTAGATTGTTATTGCTATTATGTATTGTTTTGAACATTTCTAAATGCATTTTCTTAAAGAAACATTTGTTATTTTGACGATATATAAGAATATTTTGAATAAATCTATCATAACTCGAAAACTAGAGGAGATCATTAATTTCAACATGATGTTTAGAATCAGAATCATCAGATTACTTAGAAACATTTTAATTTTTTTCTAGTAGTAGAGAAAATGTTTGTTACTCAGTGTAATTTTCCTTTCATATTCTATGAAAAAAGGTAAAATTCCCTAAGTGCTCTTTTACTACTAATAATTTCCTTGATTGAAATTACAAGGAGTGGTCTAGCGCCCTCTAAGTAAATACATTCCACTCTTCCAGTATTAAGGCACTACAAACTTCATATTCAATCTAGCTATTGGGATGAGAGTACAATTGTATGTAGAAGGCGAATGGTTGGTAGTCAGAACAGGTAGCCCTCCCTCTGGTCAGCAATTCTAAATTAGAAGTGACTATACCTGAACACTGGAGTTTAACCCATGTTTTGCAAAAAAAGGAGAATAGCTCTATAGCATAGTTTCCATTATATAAGACTACGTTATAAGGCTGTAATATAAGAAAATACTCCAATCCTCCCTGCAAGCTTCATCTAATGTACAAGGACAATGGTTTTCCAACATCAATTACAATAGTCTGGCGAGTTAATTAGTATGTCTTTGTAGAGAATAGTACAAATACCTAATTCATTCTCCAGTGGACAGATTTTACCACTGATATTTTTTACTTCTGGAGTCTCACCTGTTACAAGACGTCACATTTTGCCTACCACGCCTGGAGTACGACTTGTTGCAAGCCTCTTTCTTGGTGGTCCTGGAACCCCAAGTTGACCCATTTTCCTTTGTTTTCCAATGCCATTAAGTGCAAGTGATACCCTCGTCTTGTAAATTCTAAGTCCCCTATCTTTATTATCTGTATGTATGTATGAATAATTTACATCGAAGAGGGCTGTTGCATGCCCTTTCTAAAAGCCATCTCACTACCTATATAAACTCAAGTAATGTCAAAATGTAGTTCTGATACATTACATTCCACTGCGACTTTATGTTGGTTGTAGTATTAATGTGACTTGCTGATTTGCATATTCAAAATCGTTTTAAACGTACTTAAACCTTTGTATAGAGAACTTCTATATTATAAGGAGTGGTATTGTTCATGATATGTAGGTACATAAATCAAAAACATAATATTCGGAACTATTTTACAGACTTCCTTTTCAAAATGTTCCTTTGAGGGTAATGGACTTACAACGCTAAAATCCCTGTGTTGGACAGCGCGCAGATATCCCAGTGTGTAGCTTAATTTTGTGCAATATAATTCAAGTATATTGATGAATTAAACTATTATAAATTAAATATTTTGAAAGATAAATTGATAATCTAATTAAATTATTACCTGTCATTTTTCATATTCAATGACAACAAAGTATTCTTGCGTAGTATCTTGGTGAGAAGTATCTCTTTGCTTCAGTGAACTATTAAAGAGCTTAATAACTATTTTATATATTTTCTTTTGTGACGTTTTTAGTAGAAATATATAATTGAATATCATTCTTTACTATATATTTCATACCATTGACATTGTTTTATATTATTTTCAGCACAAATTAATTAGACCTTAGTCAGCCAGTCGATAGATCTACTACTTCTTAAGTTAAACTTAAAACAACCTTATGGAATCATTCAAAAATATACTATTTTTATTTATCTCATTTTATCAACACGCTAAAGAGCTTTAGTGCCGGTCAATGCACTCTATCCTCCCTCTAGTTGTGGAATCCCGTCTCAGCACTTTTGTCTGTGCGAAGTACAGGTAGCATGTAAGACGTCCTTAACTCTGAACCACTGACCACAGCGAGGCAACCAGCTGGCAGCAGCCACTTATTACTTTATTATTGTTAATTACTAGTATTGCATGTTTCAGGAGTTTTAATGGGAGCCCTTCCTTCTTCAATACGATCCTCAAGGTTCTTATAACAATAATAACCAACTTAATATTATTTAAGTAGCATTTGTTCCTTTCATATGTTATTTATTTTTCTGATTTTGCCAAAATTATTCATTAACATGAAAATCAATTAAATTCTTACAACCACAACAATATCAGAGTACTGGGTACTCAAGCCAACCACAGATTTAGAATCAACCAATACACAGTAAATCTCAATATAACAGTAAGTTTATTTACATGTAATAAACAGCCCCATTAATGAAATTTGTTGCCAAAAGAAAGTTAAGTGTAGTTCACAACTAAAAAGCACATAACCTATTAATTAATTAAGAAACCAATCATATGCAACAAATTGACTTTATGTCATGTATCTGTCTTCTAGAAGCTGAAATCAATAATGATTGAACAACATTAGATCATCAGTTGGGTAGCCTTCGCGTTAACAATACCTTATGCTATAAATCCAATAATACCTCAAGATGTTTGACCAGTTTAGTAGTCTTAGGTTAACCTTTTGAGCAATATACTAAACTAACAATGAAAAATCTTCACATGTGGAAAATTAATTCGAGAAGTGTTCAAACTAACTTAAAATATTATATTCAGCTCACTCTGAAATCAAACATTTGAATCTCTGTCACATTTTATGGCTAGATTTGAATTGATAATGTTATTGATCTATTTCTTAAAGGTACAACATAAAAATGGCTCTACCCTTGAAAGAGTGAAAAATAAGACAAAATAAATGGGTATTTACTCTACAATCCTCTCAAGTAGTTCAGGAACTGTGACTATTTATACCAACCTACTGAGTGATAATACTATATTTGTAAACGAACGCATCCAATTTATGTACTGATAATGATAGTTTTATAATTATTTACTCGCTAATTGCGCAAGTAAAACAAGCATTCTTATTATTGTTCAGTATATGAAAATGTTTCCTGATTTTTCTGCTAAGTTAATTCTGCCTCTCTCTTCTTCCAGCTGTCTGCCATTGAAAAAGTTTCTCATAAAATATATTTGAAAGAAAGTTTCGAATATGTATATAGAAGTGTTTAAGAAAAGAATCGATTAGAAATAAATGATTTTAATGTAAAGTTACATCTTATTTCGAAATAATATAAGATTGCGGTTGTGCCTTTGTTTTCATAGAGAAGCTGCATGGATCACTCTCTGAATTTTAGTGTTGTAATCCCTCAACTTTACCGCTGAACCACCGGGGTGTTCAAATAAGATCTTAAAAGGTTTTCACAGTAATCCAGTATGTCTGTAAGAGCTCCGCGGAGAGATCATCAGCTTAAGTGACTCGAAAATTTTCATGACTTTTTATAACACTGAATAAAATTATATACAAATTAAAACAAAAGTTAGCAACTGATATATGTCTGGTTATCACGAAAATATGTCTAAAAATCAACGGAACACTAGAGCATGAATCATATTGTGTAATATTTCTAATTTTTTTTACTCATAGTGCCGATGAGGTTTTTATTAATTCCTCAAATTTGAATATTTTTAGTCAGATTGTCTCTTCCGCTTATTTCGAGAGCAGCGTTCAGATTAGGTGAGTGTTTATGTTTTGAACAATATTCAGGTAATCACTGAAAATCTTTAAGATATTTAATATTAGCAAGCCAAACCTAACACGATTACAGTGTATATTATCTGATAAATAGAGATACTAAAAGCACTTTCAAAATGTTATCATTTGAACTCACTATGAAATTTATCATATAACTGACATCAAAAAGGTTTTTTCTTTTCCACCAAACTTGATCACATTAGCTACGATCCAGTTACACGTTTTTATGTTACACAATCCTTTTACAGATACAATTTCTCATATTTTAGTAACTACAGCATTTTCTATAAGGATATAAAAGGTATTTGAATAAAATTTGCTGTGAGGATAAGTTTCCTTACTGTATCTGCTTCCTCTTACCCTAGAAGTCTTGCTTTTTGTTCTTTTCGGAAAATTCTAATCCCAGAAATAAAGTTCGCAATGCAACATTAAATCTTCTGAGATCAACAAATTGAGGCTTGAACACAACCTTACGGAAAATTGGCTCAGTCCCTTGTGAATGTCTTAGTCAACCTAGTTGTAGAACATACATCTTCATTGTTAACTTTATTGATCAGTCTTGCTGATTTTGTATAGCATAATTTGCTACAGAACCAAGTCAGTAGAGCAAAATAAATGTGAAAAAAAAAGTTGTATGGCTAGTAAATGTGGAAAGTCATCTAATCACTCGTAGGATAACGCTGCTCTTAACGAATGATGGAATATAAGACATGGTAAGATTAATAACGTGCCTTTTTAGAGCATATGTTTCCTAGGATATTAGATTTTCACCTAAAGAAATACCAAGCTAGGTGAAGAAAAGAAATCAGGAAAGACAAGAAAGAAAGTACATTATAAGGACCTTGACGTCATTAATGGGATTTGACAGAAAAGCTTTAAAAATAATGATCTCATATTGATAACCAGAGAAAGTAACATAATCACTGCCAGGACGAGGTAGGAGGGACAAAATGTAGTATATTGCCAAAATAACGATTTTAGCCAGTAAAACAACCGATCTTCTCTGCCCAATCTGTAAGAAATATGAGCTCATCTTATCCAGGCCTCCGTAATGTGTATTATATTGATTTTCTTAGCACGGAGTTGGAGATGAGGCATTTTGTTGATTGTTTAACTTAGTAAGCCCTGTTTCGCATCAACATGTGAAATATTTACAGCAATCATAAAAGTTTGAGCAAAGTTCTATACGCTTCATTTCACATTATATAATAGCCTATTTTGTTAAGAACCCAAATAAAGTATACTAAAATACACAAAATAAAGTTTTCATAGACTAATTTAATGCAATGCTAGACTGTATACTTGCACATAGGTAGGGATGAACCTATAATAGATTACTTAATCATCTAGCCTTACTAAAATAAACTAGTATAGCAAAACATTGTAATAATAATATATTATCAGAGTCGTTTGGGGAGGACAGCGGTTTTTGTATATAATGTATATTTGTTTTATATGGTGCTTGATACCCGTGGTGGTCAGAGCACAGATAGCTCATTGTGTAACTTTATGCTGAGTAACAAACAAACAAACAGCTGTCTTAAAAAGCTAAATGTTATTAAATGGGCGAATCTCATACTGACCTTATAATCTAGCTTTGTTTTCATTTGTTTGCTTGCTTGCTTTTAGAGCAAAGCCATATTGGGCTATCTGATGTGCCCGTCGCACTTTGGAGCCATGAATGTGCAATGAGAGTAATGGTCAAATCTCTCTATTCGATTAGAGTAGCCCAAAAATTGGCGATTGGTGCTATTTAAATTTAAAGACAGCTATGTAAAGAGACCTCTTGTGTAGCATTGCGCGAAATTTCTGAATCTTTGAAAAGCAAGCCAATAAAAGACTAAAGTATTATCATATTTTATTTAGCTTCTTTTTGTTTTAAAGTTGTTGTTCTTTTTTCAAACGTTAAGGACATTATCCGTAAGTTAACAAGCTACTCCTAATAGAACATGTATTTTGAACAACACTTTCACAGTCTATAAAAAGCAATGAAAACGATAAAAATCATTGTAATTGTTTCAGGTGATTCTGTTTCTTTAAGGTCAAACGCAGAATGTATTGCATTTATTTATGAGTTTATTTCGTCACTAATGAGTTTAACTTCTTTCTTGTTTCAATCCTCTATATTCTAGTTTAGCAATGAATCGGAAATCCTAATATTCTTTTGAAGGTTTTCAAACATTTTGTGTAACCACTTGCTCCTGAAAAAGTTTGAAAGAAATTGAATTTAAGTGTATTATTGATACACCCCAATTTAACCTGACTTCTCCAACATGCAAAGTTTTATAATAAATATTTTATGTTTAACTGTTAAAGACAAGCAAGAAATTATAACAAAATAATCCATTCTTAAGAAACAAAAACAAACCAGCATAAGTACAAACAGTCCTTCCGAAAAAAAAAGTAACATTGTAATTATTTAAACAAAGGATCATGAAGCATAAAATCAGGCAATAGGTCAGTCACTCTGCTTTGGTACTCTGCGTTTCTAAAAGGATTAATAGCTACACCAGTGGAGGTTTCAAACAATGTTAAATGCTTCATAAATTGTTCAAAGGTTTATGTATGATACAAATAAAACATTGTGCGGCAAACGGTTTTGTTCATTTGTTGCTAAGCTCAAGCTATACAGTGGGTATTGAAACCCAATTTATAGCGTTATAAGACCTCAAACTTAACTCTGAACCACCAGGGGTGGGGGCATGGCATAAAGAGCAGGTGCGCATGCAATACCATATATGAATTACCTATGTAAGTGCAAACAATATGTTATAGTAAAAGAAGACGATTAAAAATACAACTTCTATATATTTATATAATCTGATACAGATGGAAACTTATTTGTTGAATAAGATCAAAGGTAAAACATAAGAACTTGGTAAGTGCATTTTATGAGTATAAATCGCATGATTGGCATGGCCAATATGTAAAATAAATAACTTCATTCATCCTTTACATATATATATACTCCAACACAAACCTAAGCATTTATAGCCATTCACACCATTTTATTCAACTCCGTCAAATGTTATGCTTGGTCAATCTGTTGCCACAGTGTGGTCATTGAGTCTGTACGGATTACGTAATTAATACAATCGCTATAGAATATAAATAACTTTCTATATCTTGACTACATCAACTCAAATGCAATAATTTATTACACCATAGAGATTTTAAATTATAGTAGTTATCTCTGTGTTTCCTCAAATGCTATGCTAATTTTTTTTAATTATTCTTCCGCTTTAATAACTGATCAACTTTGGTTTATTCCTTTCATAAGCACACCCTCCTCGTTTCAAGTCTGGCCATTGGGCAGACGTTACCTTGGTGGACTGAGACAGTTAGGTCTAGACTAGATACTCTATCGGTCATATATATATATTCACATAGGCTGCTATTATTCTAGGGACATCTAGTAGCTTGGGCTTGCCACATACTAAATATCACATAAGTGTGTATTTGTTTCTGTAATTTATAGTAATTTACTGTACTAAATTCCAATATTTCATTATTTATTTTAGTTATTTATAGTATTAAGTGGATTTAATATATAACAATAAATTAACTAAATAATAATAACTACATTGGCCAAATGTGATAGACATGGTACATGAGTGGACGACAACGCCTTTCATGGATGAGTCCAGGATCTGATTTGACTTCACAAAGAACCAGGCCAGAATCTGAAGGAATACTGTCACAAGAGGTTGTTCCATTTGATCTTCAAACAGGAAGCCAATTGATCATTAGTTGAAAGATGTTCTTGCGAAAGGATTGAACCATCTGCTATAGATCATCATCCAGAGACTCGTCAGAAGCATACACACTACCTACTGATAAGATTGTTTTACCATTTATTGTGTTCTGATCAAGATATAAAAAATGCACATATACTAAAATGTTCCATTTCGAGAGTACAGTATATCCTCTTCCACATTGAGTTGTGTAAAGATAGGCAAGGAAAAATCTGTTTGTAGTTGGTGCTTGGGTTTTAAGCATACAAAATAAAGATGTTAATGAACTTAAGGTTGGTTAATGGTAATCTATTATTTGATATATTCATTTTTTTAAGTGATCTATAGTAAATTTTGTGTAGTAAAAATACGTAAATAATTTTGAATTATTGCTAAACAAAATTTGGAACTATTCAGTTGCATAATCGACATGAGTAATTGTTAACTAAAACAAACTATAACACATAATAACTATAACACATCGATAACACATTATAGCTCAGCAAGTAGATATATATGACGTAATATCTTCTTATGTATATGTAATTATTTTTCTAATGTTGCTTCAAAGCTCAAGTAGCTTTCTTTTTACCCCTGCCTTGTTGATAGCCGCGAGACTACTACAAAAAACATCTCAAAGCCTCAGATTTTAATCAGCCACTGTCAGAATCTTTAACTATCAGAGCCGTCACTAAATACTTCTTCAATAAGTTACGTGAAGAACGAGATAAACCTCTTTCCGTATATCATATCTTAATGTATCTCCAACTTGTTTCACCTTCTTCAATTTTATTTTTCTATAACTATACTTTTACCTGTCTTATTTGTTCGCTTTCTCTTTCATGTAGTTATATTCTCACTTTACAGTCTCACTTCTCTGCGTTTTCGTATTTTTTCTATATTTTCTTCATTTTAATCAAATATCTCCTCTCTTCGGACTCGTTTCTTCCTTTTTAATGTTTTTTCTTATCCTATGTCTCTGTCCCTCTGTAATTTAATATGTTACCATTCTATGCTCTGCCTTCTCATTGCACTTGTATCACATGTTATAACTCTTTACCTTCTACTTTTCCGATTCTTTTGTAACTTGGTTTATTTATCAGACTTCTCTCGTTTCTTTAAGCCTTTATAAACCGCCTTTCCTTCAACATATTTTTTCTCGTTTTCTAGTCCTTAGGTTTTCACTTGCTCTTTTGTTTGTTTTTTCTCCTTATACTAACATAATTTTCTATTCCCCTTGTATTCCTTTCTCTCGCATTTGCTTTCTCTAATGACTAGTTTTCCCGTATCTAAAGAATCTATGGTAGCTTTTATTTTTTTCGAGGTCGGGGAGCTTAATTTGTTTGTTACCAGTGTTAACAAAATCGAGTTAGTAAAGATTTCAGAAATGAAGAAAATTAAATGTAACAACTCTAACATGTGAATCACCGTTTTTTATCTTTTAATTACTTAAATAATAAGCATTTATTCACTTTTTATGATAATAAATTATGTTCACTGCTTGAATTTAAAAACATTAGTTTAGTATATATTGATAGATATCTAAATACTATAACATTCATCTGTATTGCCCCTGGTGGCTCAGCAGTGAACTTGAAGGTTTATAACTGGATTTCAGTACCCGCTGTGGGCGCAGTGTAGATAACCCATTATGTAGCTTTGTGCTTAAACACCAACAAACTGTTATCTATACTTGTATATGTAATTATTTCCCTAAAATAATAAATCAACATGTTTCCAAACTTAATAAATATATTTTTTTTTACAAAAATCATTTTAATTCCAACACAAAACGAATGGAATAAATTGTAATACTTGACAATTAATCGCTTTTTTAGGAATGTGATAAGCCAAAGAAATCATATTTGCAACAAATTTACAGTAAATTTCCTGCGTTCGATGATACTATATTCAAGGTCCCTGAAATATGCTCTCCGTGAAAATGTGTACCTTTGCAAAACTTACTTCAACCCCAAGAATGACGGTTGTTTTATGTAAAGCCTCATCTATAATAGAATCATGATGACTGACAACAGACTTTTTGGAATAATGAGAACCACCTCATGGAGTTTTTTTTTAAGTGGTATCTTGAATACAGAATTGAAGACAAGCAGGTGAACAATTCAATCGCCATTATGTTATGCCAAATGTCCTATCTGTTATAAATAAACATATATTGAGGTCATGATGGAATTTAGTGGTAGTAAGTCAAGGTGTTGTTCCAGCAGGATAGTTCTTTCTGCTGTAAAGCACGTTTAGTTTCTGAGTTTTAATGTGGACCGAGTTTTCAATGATCCTGCCGTTTTTCTTGATTTCGAAACGATGTTTCGGGTTCCATTCCAAGTCCTTCATCAAAGTCCTTAATTGTGAAGAAATTTTATTGGTCATTTAAATGTCATTGAATCCTGATTTTGTTAAGTTTCTTCAGAATCTGGTTCTAGATACTGATAATTTCTACGAAGTGGTGGGCTACGAAATGTAATTTTTGCCTTCTCTCTCTTTCACTTTCAGTTTTCTCAAACTTCTTGCTATATCTGCCTCTCTTATTCCTTCAAGTCTTTCATATCTTAATTCATCAAATGCTCGTGCACGTATTTCAGTTATTCTAACTCTCTCAGCTTCAAGCCTTACTTCTCTTTCTCTCAGAGATTTATTTATCCTTCTACGTGCTTTTCTAACTATCAGATTTTAGCAATGTTGCTCTTTCCTTCTGCAATACTTTCTCCTTCTTTCTGCTTTTCTTGCAGCCTCGGAACTGAAAGAGATTTTAATGTGGCTTTTCTTAGCATTTTAAAGATTAAGCATACTTACTACTTTTCTCCTAAATGATTAATAATCAAATGATAGCTTAAAGTCACTTACATTGAATTTTGTATCAAAGAAAATGATCAGTTCAATATATCAGCTCCCTGCTAGAGAAGTGAACAGTATAATTAAGTACGGAGCATCAGTTCATCAACTACCCTTCTTTAAAACAAATAATGAATACGTTTTAAATGTACTATGTTCATTACAGTTATACTTTTAAAAATAGCATAACAGTAGTCAACTGCATTCTATTTCGAATGAAAGTTTTTAATGGTTAAAAATATTTTTGATTCCTCAAACAAAGTCATTTTCGACAGTTCAATAATTTTAAACTTCGCGATTGTTAACACAATATCACTGAAATTTATAACACTTCCGTACACTTAATTAAATGTCAAACTACTCCTAGAGTATAGTGAAATTCCCTCTACCAGTCTTTTTAAAACCTAGAGCATTGATACATGCAGAAGGAGTTCGAGCGGTTCGTCTTACCCACTCTGTATTTAAACATAAAATAGTTTTTTATTTGAATGATAGATTTAACTTAAAATTTAAAGATCACTTGAAGTTATACCTGTTGATAAACACTGCATAATCAAGTATTGAGTCTTCTTAGTTTTTTCAGGACATATTTACCAGTGAATTGTAGTGTTATACGGAGAGTCTTTTTTGGTACATTAAACACCTCTACTTTAGGGGTGGAAGCTCTATGGATTCGCTCCTTGATCATGATTATATTGTTACGACAGCGGGGGGTTCACGTGACTCTAGTAACACGTCATA